GCCTCGTTTTATAGATTCTAGAACTGTACTCTTCTCAGTACTTGGCAGTAGCTAGAATATTCAGGAGAAAAAGCAATGGAGTTTCTCATGTTTAGATTCAGTGATACTATTAAAATGAACAATGACTTGCTATGAGAATTTCACATAGTTATGGAGGGCAATGGTATTCAAACTAGCTTGTTTGCAAATTATCTTCTGTCCATGATGAGATAAGGAGCTTATACAATTATGAGCTAACACACTGGTTTCTTTATCAAGAAAGATATTGTGTGGAAAAAATGATAAACCAAGTAGTGTGCATAATGGTGTAGCTGATACGATGGAGGTGGGCATGGAGCACCTGTGGATTTTTAGTGCCATTTATGATAAATATGTAGAGAAATTTGTGACCAATGTGAAGGGCCAAGATTATTTAGAAACCTTGACCATTTTACTGTAGTTTTTATGAAAGCACCTCAGGTGGTTGAAGTTGCATGAGATGATGTGACGTAGGTAAAAATTGGCATCGACACAGAAGCAGGGCTGTGCCCTGTCTTTTTTTCCTAGGCAAGTAAGGCAACATACTGAAGAACCTATTTTTCTTTCTTTTCTTTTTTATTAAACTCACTTAGGTTGCTTTTTTTGCAAGTGAAAAAATGGGGGGATACCTAAAGAGGATGGTGGGGAATGGAGACATACCATACTATGGATTATATTTCATTTTTCTTACTAATGGAGAATTAATGAAAATTAAGGCTTATTGTTTCTTATCAGATTATGAAATACTTTTCCACTGGTTATTTGGATAACAATATAAATTTATCTCAAGTGCTTTCACTTTCTCACTTGATGCACAAAATGACCCTGTCACACAAGGATGATAAACTTCTTTTGTTTGATAGTAGATATTCGGAGATAGTCACTTGCCCAAGATTAGATGGCCAATAAAAAAGAAGCAGAGGTAGACTGGAACTCTTTTGACTATTATTTTATATACTTCCCACTACATTGTAGTTAGAATTTGACTGGGAATAGCCATGAAATAAAATCTAATGGTACAAAATGCATGATATCTGCTGCAATATCAGAAGATAAAACACTAGGGGATTTAACAATGAAATTGGTATTCAGATGACTTGGCTTATTCAATCATAAATTGGCTCCAGGATGTAATGGTCAAGTGAGATCAAGGGCAATATATGTTCTGTGGTTTAAGTTATTCTTCTGTAGTGAACACAAAGAAAAGTGGGTGGTATGGGCTAGTTATCCTATAGATAATGTTTGCTAATCTCTTCTGCTCTATCTAAAAAGATAAATAATAATGTAAATAAATTACCAAATTAGCCCTATGTCTCTGTTCATCAAGAGGAACCTAGAACAAATTACTACCAGAAAAACTTTTGCATCACTTGATATTTAATTCAAAATCACGTATCTTCAAGTCAGCAACAATTTGGTGCTCCTCTCAGCCATTCATCATGAGTTGAGGAAAAACACTTTCTCCCCAGAGGCCTGGGTAGAACCAGTCAAACAAAACCAACAGTTAAGAGCAAATATTTTAAATATACATGTCTTTTACAGGTCCCTTCAAGCACCACCTTGGTTATGTAGTGCTATCATTGTTCTATAAAAAAGCAGTGCTGACAAATAGGCTTCAGTAATTATCCTTGAGTTGTCAGAGAAAATGAACATCTAAAACACTTATATTTGTATGAACATAAACATATGTATGTATAAAAATTAGCACACATTGTTCATGAGCTATGCAGATCTATGTTTGGTACATTCAACCAGAGTTGAAAATAATAGTGCAGTCATTTTTTAATTGCATGGATTTGGATCTAAGCCTATTATATTACTTCATTAACTCTGCCAATGGAAACACTGTGAAATTAACATGAGATTTTTTTTTTAGGGAGAAATATTTATCTGTCACTAACTCAGCAAGTAAATTGTAAAGAGTTTACTTTGAAAAGATTACACAAAACCCTTAAAAAAAGCAGCATGGGAATGGAAGAGAAAGCAACAACAACTATAGAAACTAATGTAATGTAAATGAGCTAAGAGCATATACAGTGTCATTATTTGAAGGTCATAGGAATGAAGACCTAAGAAGTGATCATCAAAATAAAATAATTTAGCATCAAGTAGATATTAGAGTGTGTTAGTGAAGTCATTTTTAAAAAGATGGAAATATGTTTTGAGCTCATATTATATGGAATGTTATACTAAGTTTTTCTGATGTATTGATAATATACATATGTTTTCTAAAACATAACTAACTTTTAATGAATTTTCCTGCTTGGAGAGAGTTGGTCTCTTCCAAGCTGATAATTAACTATGTATATATGTTTTGAATAAACAGTTTATTGAAGTAAACTATTGTGCCTTTTCCAGGGGCTTGATCATCACAGTGATGTCTCCTTCCTTTCAAGAGTTGGGGCAGGATGTTACCAAAACCATTATTTATTGATTAAAACCTTTGTGAGAATGAAATAAGCAGCTCAAAAGAAGCCAGAGAAAATAGTTGCCAATGGTCCTAATCTAAAAGCAACTTTGATTCACTTGAATAAGAGACACAATTTTATTTTACACTTGTGAGTGTGTGGGTAACTCCACTGTCTTCTAAAATACTTTATTTCACTAGTGTCTATTCAGATACTGGTACAATCCACAAATTAGATCATTGGGCAGAACTCTCCAAGAATAGTGGCTAAATTAAATCAATTTTATTTAATGTGTAAAATGACTTTGACATTCTTTTATGTTTAGAAGGTCTTAAAAAATCAATATAGTAGAGCAAGGTTCACTTTCCAGGAGAAGTAAAGGAAGGATCAGTTATTAATTTTGCTGAAAGCATATTATGGTTGTATCCTGAAATTACGTATTAGAGTGGACTTTACATTGAGCAGGACATTTGTAACATAGACTATTATAGAATGACAAATAATATACTAAAATTAAGGCAAGATGAGTTAGATATGATTGAATTTAAAATATAAATGGAGTTGAAAGAAAATGTCAGTTGGACAAACTAGATTCAATGAATATAAAATCCTCTCCCTTTTAAAATGTTTACCATGAAAGTAGCAGTGACAACAATGATTTAAAACATGTTTTTGGATAGAAGCACAGAAGTAAATGTGCTTGGTAGAGTATTTTATAGTCATTTTGTAAAGGTTTTCCCTGCAGGACTTTATCCCCTCAGTGGTCTTAAAGACTTGAAGTTCACTGATTCTAGGTGCTGCTTCATGGCTTTTCTAGTCTCCTTGCTTTAATGTGCTTTGTACTGTACACATCCATCATGGAACACAGACAACTTCTCTCCTAAATAAGGAACACTCATTTTGGGAGACAGTTCTTGCTATTTAAGACTCTTCCCAAACAATCTGCAAATGGAAAGGTGTCTGGAGACTGTGACTGCTACTGGCAACTTCTGAAGAATTAGATAATAAGGAAGCCAGTGATGCGGGCTCCTGCATTCCATTAGATCTGATTCTGCATCTATATTAATAATGTTACACCCAATGGATGCAGATTCATGCTTTTAATTCTTTGGCCATTGGTGGCATTGTGCACCTCTATTTTCCATGCCTTCCCATCTGCTGCCTACAGTTATTCAGATGACAGAAATATTTTAGATAAAATTAATTAGCCTGAACCCTGCAGATCAAATCTCTCTATCTCATCATTAAATAGGAATCTTCTGGGAAACTACTGAGAGTAGTTTGTACTTGCCCTTCCTAAGATTAAAAATATAAGATTTATTTTTCTAGAAAAAAGAAATCTTAGTATTGTCTTGATATTTTATGATAGCTTCTATCAAACTTTTCACTGCATATTGCCTTTACTCATTTTAGTTTTTGTCTGTGTACATATATCAAGTGGAAGAAGAGAGATAAGAAATTTTTTCGAAATAGAAGGACAGGGTGAAAATGATGTAGAGTAAGAAATCTTCTAATGTCTGGACTCTTACTAGTACACTGATGGATGTTCATCAAATCTCAGAACTTTCCTTAGTTTCTCAATCTTTAAAATGGGGCTGATTAAAGTTACCTATTTTGCTCCACAACTATTTTATTGTAAGATTTATTACAACTTGGTATTATGATAAGCCTATAAAATACAGAACATTTATTGCTTAAAGGACTCTGTCTGTCCTCTGCTTAAATATTTATCTTAGTATAATTACTTATCAACAGTTAAGTTCACAAATAGCTTCCTTTTTTTTTTTACTGAAAATATATTTAGTGTTTTTTAACCCATAGGAAGCCACATCATTAGATTGTTGTTCCTTTATTCTTAGCTAATGAGAGCAAAAACAGACTCTCAGCAATTACATATCTACCTTTTAGCCCAAGTTACAAAGAAAGAAGGTAGGGACAAAGAAACAATCACCCAAGAGTCTCCATATCCATTTTTATGTTGTCAGATAATACTTCTAAAGGGTTCCAATGCACAAGACTACTAGCCACTCTTTACCTATAACTGTTGTACTAGTTCCAGATTTTGTTTACTCAAAGAAATTCTGAGGGATGTGCTTTCTTCCTTACGCCATCACCTTAGGGTCAGGAACATCTTCTGAAGTAAAAAAGAGCAGGTAATGCTTTTTTCGGTCACAGGCTCCCAGAGTTTCTTTTGGGAGTGTAAGGCTAGCACATTGGGGTCCCCACCCATTCCCCGCCCTACAAATTTCCAAACCTCGATCGCTCTCCATGGTTCTGAACCTCGACTTTCACCAGTTGGTAAAAGCGGTTTTTTTGTGTATTCTCATTTCACTTCTCCCACCGGCAACCCCCACCTCACATTTGATTTCTGTCTGCACTTAAAATGTTTTATGCTACTTCCACGGAGGTCCTTCTATCTACCACCTACGGACACAGCCCAATCCTTACACAATAACAAAGTTACAGCTCCCAAGTCCCTATGACTTCACCCAGATCTTTCCTTCCTCCTGCCTCCGCTAGGGTCCCGATTCCCAGCAGCGCAAATCTGCACTCCACGCGGCGGACTCCTCTCACCTGACTCTCCCGCGGAAACTCATGACGCACGATGCTGATCGCCGGGATGTGCAGGACTGAGCTGACCAAGTCGAGCTCCATCATCTCGCCCTGGCTCTGGGGGAAGGCCAGCAGCGCCGATACCCCCTGCACCACCACGGTGTGGCACACGCTCTGCAGAAAGGAGAAAGGGTCACTGCTCCACGGCGAGCTGGGAGAGGAGAAGGGCAAAAGTGGCAGATCGCCCAGGCCTGTCTCGATGGCCATCACTACTTCCAGAGATAGGTTGTAGGGCAACAGCCCCTCCACGCGGTTCAGATTGTCCACGGCGAATAGGAGGGCTTCCCGCGGCCACAAAGTCTCACCCCTGGGACCCTCCCCCGGCTTCCGGGGGCCGGGCGGTCCCCGGCCATGAAAAGCACTCCCCAGCCAGCGTGCGCCCTGAGAGGGGGCCAGGGGTCTCCAAGACCCTGGCTCCGGCTCATCCCTCTGTGCACCCGCCCGGCTGCCGTCCGGAGCGCGGCTGGTCGCTCGTGGGGCTGTGGTCCAGGGCTGCAAGTGCACCGCGCCCACCCTCACAGCGTGGCCGATGCGCTTGAGGATCTGGCAAGGCTGCGGGTGCGAGGAGGAGCCGGGCACCCCGGCCAGTACCAGTGCGCAGGGCGGCGGCAGCAGCAGACAGACCCTGCTCAGCAGCCACCACAAACTCAGTCTCCTCATTACTGAGACGCACAGGGAGAAAGCGCGCCCCCTCCTGCGCCCGGCTCGCCCCTCTGCAGCCGCCGCCTAAGGTCTCCGCCTCCAGGTCCCGAGCGCGGTTTCACTAGACCCGGTGAAGCGGTCTCAGGAGCTGGAGCGGTCTCCGGGCCATCCAAGGGAGCCTAGCGCGCCCTCGGCAGTCTCAGAACAGCTCCTGGGCTCCTCCGTCTTGCATCGTCTGCCCGCCGGGTCCCTGCACGGAGCGGGGCAGGCGGGCGGGCCAGCGCCTGTCACCCGCGGCTTGGGCGCCAGTTCCCCGCCCGCCCCATCTGCAGGGCGCCTCGGACACTGCGTCCGAGCCCGGAGGCGGCGGGGCTAAGAAACAGCCGGAGTTCCAGGCGGGCGGCGGTGACAGAGGAGCAACGCTCTTACTGGGGTGCGTTATTTTCCTTTTCCGTCCTCAGGGAGCGTTGGAGAGGGCACTCACGCTTGGGGTACAGAAGAGTCAAATTCGCCTTGCTCCACTGTTGGCTGCGGTCTCCTGGGCTCCCCCAGTGCTGGCTTCATTTTCTTTCTGCCCTCGTTATTTCCTCTCTTCCTTCCTTCCGTTATCTTCCCGCCCAGTGGCCACCACCGCTCCCTTCCTCCGAGGAGCGACGCAACTGGCCGGCAAAGGGTGGTTCTGCGCCCAGCGCCAAAGTTCTCCCCGCCTCAGCCGGCGCCTCCCTGTTGCTGAGCCCTGGCACCAGCCTGTCGCTTGGCTGCGCTAAACGCCCACTGATGGTGAGATTCCCTGGTGGCACATCCCGCGCTCTCCCGAAAGTCCTCTCCTCTCAGAGGTTGGGAGTCCGTAGTTTGCAAAATTCCCCGAGATCTAAGAGGGCAAAGGCTCTTAGTGGCGGAGAATTCTGAATTCTGAGTCGCACGGTGGCTGACAGGAGAAGAGGAGAGTCTGTGACATTAAGAAGCTCTTCTTCAGTGTGCTGCCACGAAGGGGTTTCTAGTTAAGGGTATTTAAAGCAAGGATTATTTACACATTTAATCCCCTTGTTTCCTTCTCTCTGGCATAAAGACCTTTGCCTTTTTAAAGGATCCTTGTGTTTTTAGGTTCTCAGAATTAAAACCAAGTGAACCCAAAACAATTATTTAAGAGATTAAAATACTTTCAGAGTTTAAAATAGCCAGCAACAGTTCTCAGTATAGACGAAAAGTCCCCAGGCAACAATTTCTTGTAAGTAATCTCATTTGTATAGCAATACAGTGAGGTTAGTGGCTATATGAACTGAGCATTTCCTCCATGATCAGAATAACCTGACATTAGAAGGAAAGGAAAAGGTTGAGGGGCCCGTGGTTACTACACATACAGGAAACTATTTTATATCGCAGTATCATTTAGGAGAGTGAGAGAGATACTTGGGGTGAGCAGACATTGGGGATCAGCAATTTCAAATCCAATACTGCTTCAAGAGAACCATGACCTTGGCAATCTATTTCACCTGGCCTTACCCTGATGTTTGGATCTGCTAATTGTTATGAAAATGCAGTTAGCTTTTAGCTCTGGAGAACTGTTTTGATTCATGAGCTAAAGTTTTCCTTCACCATGCTTTGAATATTTGGGATGAAGATAAAAACCCCAAGAGGGTTGCCAAGTGAATGCTGTTCCCCTCAGCACAAAATGGGTCATGCAAGACTGAGGTGCCAGAAAAAAGAAGGCTCTGGTGAGGGAAAAATGAAAATCATAGTAAGGGCTAACTAGGAGGAAAAACAGACACTCCAAGGCCCCAGAGAGAATCCCATGAATGGGAGAAAAGGTGGCTGTATCATGAGAGCAATTTCCTCTTGTTCAAAGGATTCCACCACTTGACACCTGACTAAGAAAGTGTAGAATTCCACTGTCCTTGCAAGAAGAGTTGCAATCTGATCATTGTGCAGTAAGGAGGGTGTTCATCTGTATTTGTGTATGCGTGCATCAGAGTATAGCATTCTAGGCTATGACTATGCCTCAAATCTTAGTGATCGTAGTACTTGGCATTATGCATATGTTGAGATCTGGTTCCTAAGAGAATAGTGATAGAGAATAGTTGATCTGATCATGAATGGAGTCCAAGAGCCACTGTATATGTTTTAGGCCTCTCACAAGCTCAAGATGCATTGAGAGAATGGCTGGATTGGTCTTTCACAAAAGAGGCAATTCCCAAATTTCTGGACATAGTACTGCTCCAGCTCATGGTAAAATGACAGTTCAATCCTGTGACTACTGAGTGATCTGGCAAGAAGAATGGTGCTCTCTTTTGTGCTTCCTTTGTATTTTTATTTTCTGAACTTTTCAGTTAAGATGTATCATTTCCTTTCTGTCTTCCATTTGTTGCTTGGCTCTTCATCCAGGTCACTGTGTTCACACATCTCTGACATTTTTCTCTATCCTTTCTTCACTCCTTTCTTTCCCTTTCTCTGTCTAGGTCTCTCTATCTCTGTCTCTGTCTCTCCCCTGCTCTCTTTCATGCTCCAAAGCTCCTAGCTCTATTAGATTCAGTCATCAATTCAGCAACCAATTACTAAGTTCCTACTAGGCATGAAACATTGCCATAGGGCTGTCCTAGAAACAGATGAACAAACTTTACTTAAATGAAACTGAGTTCTTTTCTCCTTTAGAAAGTTACTTAGTTCATGCCTGAACAAAATGTTAACATTGATCTTATATTCTAGTAGGAGAGACAGACATTAAAACACACAGTTAACTACATGTAGGATGTATTAGTTGCTACTTAGGAGAAAAATAACATATTAAAGAAGTATTAGGGGGAGGGCGAGTTATAATTTTAGATAGAAAACATTTCTGAGAAAATAACTTCTGAATTAAGACTTAAAGGGGAAGTGAGGAAGTGATTCTTCATTTATTTTCTTTCTCTATTTCGCATTAAGTTTATTGGTACATTTTCAGCATAAAATACAGTTACATTCATCACTGGGATCTTGTACCATTACATGATGTACCTTGGTTCTTTTATTTTTCCCCTTCCCTTGCCCTCCTTTCACCCCTCCACCCTTCCCTATTTGTAAAGACTTTGTTTCCATTTTTTTCCTTTTCTCATATTTTTTCTTTTCCCTTCTTTTCCTTCCCCTACCCCTCCCACTTCCCCTGCTCCTTTAGACCTTTTCTTCCTGTTACACAATCTCAATTATACATTTTAAAAATTACAATATCAAGATCTAGGAGACATTACCACAGATTTTACAGAATTAAAAGGATATAGAAAGCGTATTTCAAAAATGTTTTGAAATAAATTTGACAACTTCTAAGAAGTACCTTGGAAGAAGGTATTAATTAATTAATTAGGTATTAATTATTAAGAAATTAATGAAGCTAACTCTGGAGGAAATATAAAATTTGAATAACACCTATTAAAGAAAGTATATCCCTAGCTTGAAAACCTACCTATATGACAACAGCAGGCTCATATACATTTTAACTGATAAATTATATCAAACAATTAAAGTACAAAAAAGAAGGAACACTTCTCCCCTTATTTTAGCAGCTCACCATTTTGCTAATCCTAAAACTGGATAAAGATAATAGAAGAAAAAAGTATGAACATAGATAGAAATTTGTTTAACAAAACAAACTATTAGAAGTCAGATCT